GAGAGAGAGAGAGAGAGAGAGAGAGAGAGAGAGAGAGAGAGAGAGAGAAAAGAGAGAGAAGTAGAGGAAAACGTGGAAAAAGAAAAAAAGAGAAATAAAAGCGAGTAGGATTGTGAAAAAGGGAGTGGCGATCGAAACAAAACAAAACAAAATAAAACAAAGCAAATACAACAACCAATGAACACGTAACTAAAAACCCTCCAGCTAAAACGTTAGCCGAGAGCTTAATGTGGCTGACAAATCTAACCCAAGAGCTTAAAAGCCACTTTATCAGAAACTCATTTGTCGAAAATGGGAGAAGGATAGGACACAGGGCTCCACAGGAAGTAAAGCAAAGAGATAATGAGTTAGGGGTGTAAACACGCGGCACTCATTTCCATCAGAAGGTCCGGTTTCGTCGTAGAACGTTCGGGGCAGCTAGGTGAACTGCGTACAATTTGCTTTCTTAGCTGCTGTATAAGTGGTTCTAGTAGGCTAGAGAATTTCCCTACTTAACTTACGATGAAGACTCGTTCTGAAAAGCATCGTCGTGGCGATTTTTTCGCTACCTTTTTGTCCCGGATTAGAAAAAAATCCTTTTTAACGCATAAACATTTAGCGGAGTAGCAATTTGGCTTGAGAAGCAAGAAAAAGAAAGAAATAAAATACTTCGAGAGTGCAATTACCTAAGGAACATGAAGGAAAAAGAAAAAAAAAACCCAACAACATAAACTTTGGCATAAATATACTTAAATAAGTTACAGTTGATATTCTTTATGCTCGTTCCCCAACCAACATCAATAATGTTATTACCCCTCAAGCGTACACGTAAACGTCGCGAGTTCAATTTCCTGAAGGGGAGTCTATGATGACTACATGTAGTATCTAAGTCTCTCTGCTGAGAAACTGTTTCCGGGATAAGGTCGTATTACTCGTACGTAAGTGGTTTTTGACTGTGGAGAGTTAAGGCTAGGCTTTCTCAGATAGCCTAGAGTTGAGGCTATCATCGTTAATAAGGAGTCCGCCAATTAGAACCTGATGGAGTGTCACGAGTTACAAGGGAAAGATTTTTGACTTTACCACTTGGCGTTCCAATACAACTGTTCATACAAATACTACTGTTCAATATACAAACGCCAGAAAGTAACATTTTTCAGGAAATACAAAAAAATGGTTTCTTACTTTCAACAGTTGGACCTACTTCCTGAACCTCTTCTTGTGTTTTTTTCAACGTTCATACTTTGAATTTTGACAAGATATTTCTTGGGGATACACTACCGATACCACAAAGAAAGTGCAATGAAAACCATTTTCACGATTTAATCTTAGTATATCTGAACAGCTGGTCGACTTCAGTCGTTTTACAATATATAATTTGTCGAAACCTTAACAAAGACAGGTGATAGGGCAGGGTTGGTCGACGTGTAACATGAGTGACCGAGAGAGTTATAGTTTAATTTTACGGCACCTGCAACATATATAGGTCGTATTGAAGAATATCATTGTTATAGAGACTAACAACCAAAGACAAGAAGGAGGAGAGGTAAGAACAAAAGATGGATCGAGAGAAAGATGTGTAGTATATAACTTTTGGACAAAGCTCAGAAAATCCGTAATAGGAAGGCAATAAAGCATCGTCACCTTGACTTGGTTGAGTCCGGTTGCGTCATATTTGGGTGCATTATAGGAGCCTGGTTTGTAAGGCTGGGACGTGTAGCTGGCAGGGTCGAAACCTTGAGATTTGTATTGACTGGGGTCAAAACTCCCCGCTGGTATTCTGTTGGGGTCGAAAGTTTGCCTCTTGATTTCAGACTTCAGAATCCTCAAAACTGTCGAAAATAATAATGTTAAAAACATAGTATTAGAAAGAATGATGACACATATCTGTGTTTATGCATGCTCGCATGAATGGATATGCCTGCGTACATATGAGTGTTATTGTGTATGTGCACGTTTTCGAGAGTTCGTTTGTTGTTGTTGTTGCTGTTTGTGGTGGTGGTGGCAGTGTTGGTGTTGTAGATGTAGCTGTTTATGTACATGTCTTTTTGATGTTGCTGCGTGTTTTTATGAATTAGCATGTTCAATCTCACGTGTCTGTTATATTTTGTGGCTGCTGATTTTTTAGTCTGGGTGTATGAGCACATGTGCAAAAAGACCTTGTCAAGTAAACATGTATTGTGCTCGCGCGTGTCTGTATGTGTGTATGTGTGTATGTGTGTGTATGTGTATGTGTGTGTGTGTTTGTGTGTGCGTGTGTTTGTGTGTGTGTGTGTGTGTGTGTGTGTGTGTGTGTGTTCGAG